GGCCCCCCCGTGTCTGAGCCCCAGCGTCTACTCTCAGAACCTCCCCTGGGCCCCGTGTCTGAGCCCCAGCGTCTACTCTCAGAGCCTCCCCTGGGTCCCCCTGTATCTGAGCCCCAGTGTCTACTCTCAGAGCCTCCCCTGGGCCCCATGTCTGAGCCCCCGAGTCTACTCTCTGGTGTCTAGTACGTTGAGTTCAGTCTAGGGGGTAGTAGACAAGAAAAATGGTAAAGTGATGCTTGACATTACCTTAAATTTTAGTTTTTCCCCCATTCCTTCCTTTGCTGCTCATTTAAAAAAAATCTTCATATAGCTGTTGTGTACATTCTGTTGAGGTTTTCTAGCTGCATTGGGCAGGAAAGACTGGATGATGTAGGTTACTCCATCACCTGAAACTACGACTTTTGATTTGAGTTTTCTTTCTTTCTTTTTTTTTTTTTTTGAGACAGAGTCTTACTCTGTCATTCTGGTCACTCTGGGCAGAGTGCTGTAGTGTCATAGCTCACAGCAATCTCAATCTCAAACTTTTGGGTTTGAGTGATCCTCTTGCCTCAGCCTCCTGAGTAGCTGGTACTACAGGCACCGGCCCCTATACCTGGCTTGTTTTCTGCTTTTAGTAGAGACTGGGTCTTCCTCAGGCTGGCCCACTCGTGAGCTCAAGTGATCCAGTCTCCCGGAGTGCTGGGATTATAGGCATGAGCCACTGAGCCCAGCTCTGATTTGATTTCTATGCAGTAGTTTCCCTGTATCTATGGTTTTGCTTTCTGTGGTTTCAGTTACCCATAGTCAATTACAGTCCAAAAATGTTGCATGCAGAATTCCAAAAGGACACAATTCATAAGCTTTAAATTGTGCACTGTTCTGAGTGGTGTGATGAAATCTCCAGCTGTCCTGCTTCCTCCCACCTGGGATGCGAGTCGCAGCTTTGTCCAGTATATCTGTGCTTCATACACTACTTGCCCGTGAGTCACTTGGTAGCCATCCTGGTTATCAGATTGACTGTTACTGTGTCACTGTGCTTGTGTTCAAGTAACCTTTATTTCACTTAGTAGCAGCTTCCAAGTACAAAAGGCATGATGCTGGTAATGCAGATAGGCCTCAGAGCAGCTGTCAAGTGCTTGCTGTTAGTGAAAGGTGAAAGTTCTGGACTTAAGGAAAGGAAAAAAACTGCATGCTGAGGTTGCTGAGATCTATAGGAAGAAGGAATCTTCTGTCCTTTGAACATGTTATCAATAGTTATTGTTAATCTCTTACTGTACCTAATTTATAAATTAAACTTTATCATAGGTGTGTATACATAGGGGAAACAAAGTAAATACAGGCTGTGTTCCTCCCTACAGTTTCAGGCATTTGCTGGTGATCTTGGACCATACGCCCTTTGGAGACAGAGACTGCTGTACTTAACTTTTTATTATGAGTAGTGCTTGCCACCTAAGCTTGATTTCCTTTTCTTGTCAGTGACAATATATGAAGTGTACGTGGCAACGGGAGAACTCTGGAATGCTGGAACCACGGCCAATGTCTACATTTCTGTCCATGGGGAAAAGGGGGATACAGGATCTAGACTACTATTCAGATCGGAGAGCGCCTTCAAGTTTTTAAAAGGACAAGTAAGCAAAAAGTCCTTTGTCTGATTTTAAAATGATTAATAGTAGTGGAAAATACATAAAATGTGCCATCCTAACGATTTTAAGCGCACAGTTCAGTATGTGAAGTAGGGTCACATTGCTGTACAGCTGATCCTCAGAAGGTTTCCAGCTTCCTAAACTGGAGATCTTACTATTAAACAACTCCCCAGCCCCACCCTCACCTACAGTCCCTGTAACCACCATTTTACTTTCTGTTTTTATATATTTAACTATTTCAAATACCTCATATAAGTGGAATCATATAGTAATTATCTTATCATGACTGGCTTTATTTCACTTAGCATAAGGTTTTTAAGACTCATCCATGTTGTAGTGTGTGACAGGATTTCCTATTATTTTAAGGCTGAATGATACTCCATTTTGTGTGTGTATATGCACATTTACATACCACATTTTGCTGATGTTGCAAACCCTTTTAGAGAGAAACTGGGAGCTGGGTGGTTTTCCTGCTCACTATGCACTAAGCCAGGGGAATCAGCTTCTGGAAGTGCTTGCCTCACTTTTTCAGCTCCCAGAGTTAGTCCCTCAAGTAGGAGCTGTACATGGCGGAGAACTCAGTGGATGGACATACTTCTTCCAGGGAGAAGGTGGAGATTGATTTTATTGCTGGGGCACGCTGGGGAAGAAGGCAGGTACTTTCAGGCTCACAAAGTACTTCTAATTACCTGCCTTGTCACCAATCAGAGTTAGGCGACTTAGAGGCCCAACCCTGGGGCAATAGCTCAGAAGAGACAAGTCAAACCTTTTCTAGTGGGAAACTGGGGTTTGGGTATTTTTGCCTGCTTGCTCTGTGCTGAATCTGATAGGAGGATAACTCCTGGAAGTGCTCCTACATGCATTTAAAATTACCTCTTTATTCCCTATGGTTCAAGGAACTCTCAAATGCTGAGCCCCTGCATTCCCAGAGGTCGGTGATTTAGCACCAATTAATCCTTGGTGGGGGCTGTAAAAATAGAGGTGCTGTATGTGTGGACAAAAAGAGAAAGAAAGAAAAGCTAGCAGACACACAGAACCAATTAAATGGATTAAATTGACAATAAAAAACACAGATAAGCTGAATGATTGAAGTTCCTATAGGAGAGACATTTGAGGTCTAAGGGCACACATCGGTTAAAAGTAAGAAGATGGAAGAAGATCTTCTGTGCAAATAAGAATGTAAAGAGAGAGGAATGGCACTACTTATATCAGATAAAATATACTTTAAGCTAAAAACTGTCACAAGAGACCAAGAAAAATATCCTGGTAAAAATAAAATGATAACAGGATCAATTCATTAGGAAGGTATAACATTTATAAACATACATACACCTAACATCAAAGTTCCCAAATATATATATGTGGAGGGGGGAGAGAGAAGAAAGAGAGAGAGGGTAAGTATTTGCAAAATTGAGGGGAGAAATAGACAACAAGAGAATAATAATAGGAGACTTCAATGCCCACTTTCCATGATGGGTAGAAGAATGAAAGGCAACAGTGGACTTGAACAACATCATTAGATCAGCTGTACCTGCCAGGCAGACACAGAACCACCAGACAATAGGAGAATGCACACTCTTCTCAAACACACAGGAACAGGAACCAGGGCAGATCACAAGTTAGGGCACAAGCAGGTCTTAAGGTCTTAACAGGTCTTAAAATCAGAATCATACAAACTATCTTTCCAACCACATTGGAGCAAACCCAGAAAACGACAGGAGACTGAATATTCACAAATATGTGGCAATTAAAGAACTCTGTGAACAACCTTTGGGTTGGGTATGTCAGCAAGTTGGCAAAATGGGAGGCTCCTGACTTTGAATCCTTCCATGGGTACACTGAATAAACCACAAGTAAATCAATTCCCTTGGAGAGAATGCAGAAACTTACTGAGAGACCTCTGCTTGCGAATGACTGAGGAAACATCCACATCCAAGTAGGTAGAAAAGCTGAGAGAAGCTCCTGGCGCAAACCACACACACCCTAGAAATACCAGCGCAGTCAGGAGCTTCTCCCTGAAGAGTGCAGGGTTCGGATCACACACACAGCACCCAGCATTGATGTCTGGCACTCAGAGTACTGCCTCCTAGATCAACTACATATGGAAGCAGATGAGGCGCAGCATTTGAAACTCCCCTGGCAGAAAATAAGGAGGTTTAAACAGGTGGCTTTCTCCCTGGACTCAGTACAGAGTGAGCAGCTTTCAGACCAGATAGAATATTGGGTGCTTTATAACCAAAAGTTGACAACAAAGAAGAAGGGGGGTATGTATGGAAACTTACTATTTTTGAGAAATTAATATTATCATTTTGCCTGTAATTTCATAATTTAGACAGATTTATATATTTACTTAGTGATTCTTCTTCTTTCAATAAGTCTTAATTTATACTTTTGGTAGAAATCAAAGTTACAGTCTGGATATAACAAAACTTTTTTTGATTGGTTATAGACTGACACTTTTTTCCTTGAAGCTGTGCACCTTGGAGATTTGTACAAGATTGTGATAGGCCATGATGGACTTGGTCCAGGTAAGGCTTTTCTATGGAGAGCTAACAAAGGTTTGATTTTATTGTGTTAATGTGAAATCCTGTTCAAATCTAGAAAGTACTGTGGAAAACTTGTAGAAAACTGATCTCTTAAGTACTGACTGATTAAGCTAAAAATACTGTCCCCAATTTCCTTTAAAATTTAACATATTTTTCTTTAAAATGACATAGGGTTAGCCAAGTGAATAATCTAGAATAGGCCTAGAATGCTAGAAAGAGTGATTTAAAAAAATCGTGGAACTTGGTATTTCTACGTTGTGGTGTGTGCATCGTTCCAGCAGGCTGGTAGCAAAGGCACCTGTACTGTATTTTGCTGGGTATAATGCATACCCACATTTATAGACCATATTTTCAGGGAAAAAAGTCTTTTGTTTTAGTTTCTTAGTTTAATTTTTCAATTTGTTTATATTTAGGTACTTGCATAGGTATTTAGGTATCATAAAACCATTTTAGCATTTATTTTTTAGCATATTAAGATATAAAAAATTTTTGTAGTAAGTAATTACAAAACACTAGAACATACACAATGCATAAGAAATGTTATGTACTGGTAACAAATTTATGACATTTAAGTATCATAGAAGGCCAAGAGCTCCTTGTCACTATCGATATTAGAAGTATGGTCTTCCATTTCTGCATTACCAGTGTCTTCTGCAGAGTCTTCATGCTGGTAACGTTCATTATCCTCCTTTCCGTCTATAGCATTGGTGATGCCATATTTTTTAAACTATTTCATCATCACTTCCTTCTTGGCACCATTCCACAGTCTTAGGATCCAATCACAAACCTGGACGATGGATGCTTTCTGGATTCTGCCTGTGGGTGTTAAATCATTACCAGCTGACTGCATTCATGATGTCCATACTTTTTTCATTAGGACTTTAAAGGGCTTGTTCAGTTGGTTGGTCAGCTCACCAGGTATCACAGCAAGTTGGGTTTTCAAGTCCACTGTAATTGCTTTTGCACTTTATGTAACCTGGTCTTTGAAGTGATCAAAAGCAAGCAAAGCTGGTTTTTAAGTAGTCCTCCAGGCCTTTGTGACCAGACTTTGTTAAAACAGATTTTCATGCCTTCTTCATTCATCTATCCTTTTTCATGCACGTGAATGATAATTCTACTTGGAATCTTTTCTTCTAGAACATTTTTCTTTTAAGGTGAACATAGGTGGTAGCTTTGGCCCATCTACACAACAGGCTAGAACAACAGTGAAATGTGTTTTCTCATGTCCACTAGTTGTAATAGCCATGGTCTTCGCTCCTTTGATGTCCACATTTCTGTTGGAAGGCACATCAAATGCGAGTGGGACCTCATCCATATCGGTGATTTGGACAGCTCAAAATTGTAATTCTTTCGAAGAATGATGGCATAAGAATGAAATTCTAAAACTTGATTCTCTTAGGCTGCTGGGAGTTTTGGGGCAAGTTTTGTTCATGGTTTCATGTTCCGACCTTCTCGCTTCATAAAGTTAAAGCACCATATAGGTGTTTGTGAGAAATTATCTGTGGGTTTTTTTTTGTAGTTTTTGGCTGGGGCTGGGTTTGAACCCACCACCTCCGGCATATAGGGCCAGTGCCTGACTCCTTTAAGCCACAGGCACTGCCCTATCTGTGTCTTTTTATCATGTGATCCTTTTACCCTCTTGTTGTATCATCCTGGTAGAAAAGCAGATCCTACTTTGACGTGGCTCCAGAATCCAGGTGTTCACTTCCTGCTCCACTGCCAACCACTTTGGAAGTCCCCTCAGGTCACCTTCTTCCGTCTCCCCATCTGCCGGCCACTTTGGAAGTCCCCTCAGGTCACCTTCTTCCGTCTCAGCATCTGAAGAAGCTTTTCTTCCTGTCACCATCACAATCTGTTGACACTCTGTGGAAGGAGGTCCCAAGTGTCGCTTGGCAGCTGTGTCACCAGGCTTTGTAGCATATTTAGTAAATGTTAGCTTAAAACGTGCAGTATATGAAAACCTTTTTGACATTTGCCTAAAGATTTACCAGCAATTTTTGTAAAAATACCAGCTAGATTGCTAGCTCCTCCCTAAAGCAGATGAAGAGAAATACTTCACTCTTCATTGGCTGAAAATTCTTTCATTGGCAGTTCAGCGTCAGTTCAATAAACTGATTACCCTATTCCGGGGTGTTATTTTACATGTGGATAGCATTATTGCTTTAAAGAGTTACAATTTTAATGCATAAGGATAAATAAAAGAATTAGATAGATTATATAGATAGGGAATTTAGGACTACCTGTGTATAATGCACATCTTTATTTTTCCCACAGAAATTTGGGCAAAGATACATAGCAAAATGTGGTAGTTTCTTCTGGGGGCAATATTCTGTAAAGGTTAGCGAGTGTTCACAGAGGCTTGGCAGGGAGGCTGCTGTGGCAGTGAGGTCTCAGCTGGGTGTCCTGCCTCCATTTTATTCAAGCTTCTTCCCCAGTTTTCCTATCAGCTCTGTGAGATGACTCACATCATCCCATAGATTCATTTTCTGCTACTGTATAAAATAGCCATAAGATAAAAAAAAAATATTAACAGAAGACAGAAAACCAAAGGGCACATACCAAAAAAAGATTAAAAAAATCAAAAAGCATGAAACAAGATGATAACCTTTGTTACTCAAAAGTATCCAAGTATAATCTTCAAAATGTTAAGTGAAAATACGTTCAAATAATTAATGAGGGAATTAGTAGATTGACAAAGCTGTTTCAAAGGAGGTTATAAAGAACTATAAAATTTATAAAATCAATAAAAAAGAATAATGAATAAAATTGATAAATAAAAATGTGAACAATGTTCTATAGACAATAAAAATATACCTTTGAGATTATCTTCTCTTGGACAAAATTCATTTATATTTTGACTAGACACAAATCATTTTCATGTTATATTTTGTTAGTTGACAGGTACTTTTACAGAGTCTGGGCCTGAATCCCATAGTAAGTATTAAGGTTAAGTCAAATAATGTTAACACCCCTAGTGAGGCCAGGTGACTGTCAGCAAGCTTGCCAGTGTTCTGTTGCAACAGTGAAAGGACATGTAGTCATCTTTTGGTCTTATTTCTGGAGTTTTGTTAATTTTTTTAAAAGTCAAAAATTCTTAGGCTGAAAATCCTTATGTCCAATTATATGCTCTGTGCAAGATATACACTTAAAATAGTAAAAAGAAAAGTTTAGGTAATTCAAGGTTTAGAAATTCATAAATAAAACAAAAGATTTTATAAGATAAAGTAAAATTCAAGGCCACAAGCATTAAAAGGTACCAAGGAAGGTACTTTTTTTTTTTTTAAATAAAGCTTATGATTCACACTGAGATTATAACATTCATAAGCATTTATTCAATGGATAGCTCTGCAGATAAAGAAATAAAGTTCTCTTACAGAGTCAAAAAGAAATGAAAAGAAGATAGGATAGGATTTAATCACATGTCTCAGATTTTGGCAGGTTAATCAGGCAGTTCAGTTACTTTTCTCAAACATTTGTACTGTGTAGGTAGAGAAGTGCTTTTTGTTTTGAGACAGAGTTTTACTCTGTTGCTCTGGGTAGAGTGCCATGGTGTCATCATAGCTGACAGTAACCACAAATTCCTGGGCTCAAATGATCCTCTTACCTCAGTTTTTCTATTTTTAGTAGAGATGGGGTCTTGCTCTTGAACTTGATCTCCTGAGCTCAAGTAGTCCACCTGCCTCGGCCACCTAGAGTGCTGTGATTACAGGGGTGAGCCACCGTGCTTAGCTCCTGTAGAGAAGTACTTTCATTTCAAAGCTCCATGAAAAATTTTTACAGTTTGACTCTTGTCAAGATGAAATATCAATAAATTTCCCAAAATAGGCTGTATTCTTTGACCACAATTTAATGAAACCAAAATTTAATACAAAAGGGGAAAGTAAAAAAGAAAAATTCAATCACATAGGTATTTCAGTTCTTTCCATGACTTTGGGCCAAAGTGGAAATCAAATCTAATTATAATCTAACAGAATGTTATAATGGTGTTTTTTTCTGTCTCTTTTTGGCTGAGGTCTCAGAAAACCAGAATAAAATAATAGGAAGCAGTATCTCACCATCTCTTAGTTTGTTCCATATTGGCTTAGCAAAAATATCTTAGATTGGGTAATTTATAAAGAACAGAAATTTATTTCTTACAATTCTGGAGGCTGGTAAGTCCAAGATCAAAGTGCTGGCACTTGGAGTCTGGTGAGAGTCTTCTTGCATTGTCCCCCCCGGCAGAAGGCAGAAAGGGCCTATTTAGTTCCCTTCAGCCCTTTTAGGAGGTTATTAATCCCATTCATGAGGGCAGGTCCCTCATGACTTAAGCATCTCCTAAAGGCCAGACCTCTTTGTACTATCACATTTGGTCTTAAATTTCAATGGATGAATTTTGAAGGGACACATATATTCAGACTCATTGCAATTGTAAACACAAGGCCACATATTTAGGACTTACGAATGAAGAGCAGACAAGTTAGGGTTCACCGCTAAATGTAGAGGGTATAGGTTTTTGTGATAGAAGGTCTGCAGTTGCTGTGGTATGTGCAGAACACTTAGTAATTAGAGAAGGTAGAGGGGTTTTTCCTATATGAAGAAACCACTTGAAGAACCTGTGCCAACTCTAGAATTTGTTACATGACGCCTACTTGAATAGTAGTCTACATGCTGCCACAGGGGGCTTAGGTCAGGAAAGAAGGGAAGTGTGGAGAATGGTCAGAGTACAAGTTTAGGCACATAATCAGAGTAAGATTATGACCTCTAGGGCTAATGAACCCTGGAGACAGAGGGTCTTCAGAAAACCCACCAAACTCTCCATAGTCTGCTTTAAATATCTGTTAACCTACACACACACACACACACACACACACACACACACACAATGCCAGTTAATGAGACTTTCCTACATTATTACTTCTCTTCTTTCCCCATCCTCTTTATCCTGTATTTAATTCTGAAGGGTCAAAATCATGATGTGAGTGCTTGGGGTTGGGGAGGAGGTA